TTTCAGCTACTTCCCTCGTTTGGAGTGTACCTCCATTGTAATTTTGCTTGATTCCCTGACCCGTTGCTTAGGGGCGACCTATACCCTCACAATCCCTCTATTTCCCACTCCTTAATCCCGCTTAAACGCTTGCAGACCTCAAGCCTTGAGTCATCGACTCCGTCACTCATCCTGTCTCAATCGTCCTTCTGGGACTTGCTGCGTCATTCGCGCTATTCCTGTCTGTCGACCCGTAGTTCCTCAGTGCTTTGGCCTTCGTCCGCCCTGACTTTTTCAGGTCATCCCTTCCGCATAGGGCTTCTGCTGCAAGCCGGATTTTGATGCCTGTCTGTTAGCCAGTCACGAGCATTTGTCTCGCTCTCCTGCGTTCGTGCATTTTCTGTCACAACCGCGCTGGTGCCAACCACCGTGCCGGTTGTCACTTCGACCACCGTTAACTCCGCCGCCTTGCTGCTCCGGGCTGCCTGCCCGGGCTTGCACCTCTATTGCCCGCGCCGCACAATTGTGTGAGCTCTCCCCTGCGTTACACACTTGGTTTTCACCCGAGCCCTGCATCCTTGCCTTCCAGCTTTCCATCTTTTGCTCCTGCGTGCTCGAAAATTCCTTTGCTGGCGTGTGCCGTGCTGTCATTTTGCCGATGGCTCTTTGCTGCGCTGAGGCGCCTTGGTTTCAGAACCTCTGCTGTGCCATCGCCGCAGCCCCGCTCAGTGCTGCCTCATTCCGAACCGAGGCCTGCTTGTCATGCCTGGCCTGCCCTTGCCATGCCCGGGCCACCCGACCATCTTCCTGTGCCTTGCACGACACGTGCTTCGCGCCTCGGCCATTGCTCCCGTCTCAACCAGAGTCGATCGCTCCCAGCGGATAAAAGGGGAAGTTACCGACTCGAATTGGCTTGGGGCCTATCCTGGTCCCCGAAGAGTTCATACTTAAGCTGCCCAAGCGAGGCATCCCAAATGCTTGGCAGGTTGCTTGAGCTCGAATTGGCTTGGGGCCTATCCTGGTCCCTGAAGAGTTCATACTTAAGCGGCCCAAGCGAGACATCCCAAATGCTTGGCAGGTTGCTTAGGGCCTATCCTGGTCCCCGAAGAGTTCATACCTTAAGCGTCCCAAGCAAGGCATCCCAAAAGCTTGGCAGGTTAACAAACACCCCAACCCCGTCGCTACCTGCTGCATTAAGACAGTGCATAAATGTGAATGCTAAAGCAATGCCTGACGGACAAGTAAGCGGCCCAAGCGAGGCATCTCAAAAGCTTGACAGGTTAACAAACACTCTGCCCCGTTGTACCTTCTGCATTTAGACAGTGCATAAATGTGAATGCTAAAGCAATGCCTGCCGGACAAGCCAGCATTCGACCCGAGTGGCTTGCTGGGTGAACCAGATGTGCTGGACTGCTAAAACAATGCCTGCCGGACAAGCCATCATTCGACCGAGTGGCTTGCTAGGTGAACCAGATGTGGTGCCCAAAAAAAAATATATTGGAGTGCGGTATGAGATGCCTGTAGGGGTTCACATGACAAGTCAGACGCCCTGTACTGGAACCTTCCTAGTGCCTTTGAGTAAGCAAAGCAGCCCCCCAGGGCAGTTGCGTTCCGGGGGCAGTGAATCATGGACCACTGCACATGCTGCTGGGCAAAAGGTCGATGAAGAGGTTAAGCTTCGATGTTTGTCCGAACCGATGGACCCAGCCGACTGCCCGCACAACAACACTCAGCAGAAGGTTTGCGATCGAACAGTTCGGGAAGGTCCGCTTAATAGTTGACCTTGTGATAGTGGAGTCGTTGGGTTAGTCCAAACCACTCGAACAGTTCGGGAAGGTTCGCCTGATAGTTGACCTCAGTGATCTGGAGTCGATGGGTTCGTCCAAACCACCAAGAGCCCCATGCCTCAATCCCTTGACGCGGTGGCCACAATGGCCTGCATTGCCTCGGATCGTTGCCAGGAACTCCATGCTAGGAAAAACGTATGAATTGAGAGCGCGCACAGGCAAATGATTGTTTCACCAGACGACCTCAGGGAAGCGTACGTTGCCTACCCTGACCACATGGAGCACAAGGTGGTGCTACAACTGTGGGCGCTTCCGTTCGGAGCGACTTGAGTGTTGACTCTATACCTGCGAGGGGCACACTCGATGCTACACGTCGGGCGCTGGGCGCCGAAATCAATATAGTCCATCTCTTCAATGATTACATAGGCTTGGCGAATCAGGTTGAAGCCGGTTCCATAGAAGTATCGTTTTCCTCCTATGCAGGTCACTAAGGTGGAAGGTGCTGAGAACAAAGGGCAACCCCTGTGCAGAAGTTTTGCTGCTCCAGAGTGCGTTTGGCTTAGAACGTTTCCGCAAAGGAAGTCTTGTTTCACGCAGAGAGAAGCATCATGGAGGTTGCGATTGAGTCATACCGTGCTGTCGACGACCCCGACTTCACCCAGAAGGACCTTTCGTGCGTTGGAGGTCGCGCGGTCTCTGCAGGGGGGGCCAGCTTTCTGGAATGGTGCACGGTTATGCGTACCCGCCCTAGCGAGTGAAAGTTGCTCGACGAAAGCGAGCCTCGGCGACGACGCCAAGCAAGCTACGTTTCGGTCTGCAGACCTGCTCGGAGTCAACTGGACTCATGTGCTAAGGAATGTCTCGGCTTGGCCTCTGTACATCTTCACCATTGCTTCATATTCCAAACGGATGGAAACACTCTCTGCTGCATAGGTGGAGTCTGCTCCGAGTACAAAAGGCCGACCCCTGGGATTCTCCTCCGAAGGCTGACTGCGCATCAGAAACGCCCTGTAGGAGAGGGCAAGTCTGAAACCATTTTCTCGAGGCATAGCCACAACGGCGATCGCATTTATGTACAAACTGGTTGAGGGAAAAACTTGCTGAGACTTTTGTATATTACGGCCCCGCACGGGGCGTATCAATCAATGGCGCATCGCGGAATGATGTAATTATGTGTGCAGCGCGCTAGCATCATCACTTAACAATGAGGTCGTCGGCCACAACTTTTCCCGTGGTTCGTTCGGGTGTCACACCCGGCCAGCATAGTAGATTGGCCTTCACGTAAAGTGTGAAGGGACCCCATCGCTCCATACCCAGCAAAAATGGCAGATAAGCCTTCACGTGAAGTGTGAAGTACTTCATCGTAACAGGATCCCCCCCGTTCTACACTTCCCGTGCGAAAACCTAGCACCCGATGCCCTGGGCACCTAGGTCAAGTGATACGACGGATAAGTGGGGGATACTTCTTGATATCGGTTCATACATATCTTTGCAGGCGATGACCGTTCCGCCAAGCAGACACTCTTTGGTAGGCGATGATTGTTCCGCCAGGCGATGATGTTCCGCCATCCGTAGTTGCAGGTATGAGGCTAAATGCCTCCTCGCGCAGATGTACCCCTTGTCACCGCCGGTGAAAAACAGCAGAGCCTTGCGAGAGCTGAGTACCCTTTCTGTGTTTGTTTGAGGTTGTGCGTCCAAGCCAAAAGCCCGAGCTTCTAAGTGTGATCCCTAATCCGGCAGCCGTTTATGCTCAAGATATTAAGGAGGCCGTCAGTGCGTGCGCTGATAGTCCCTTAATATCTTGAGCGTAAACTTTCTTGAAAAATCAGGCTTTGATTTTTAAAGGAAAACGGCTGCCGAAGAATTTTCTGTCAGTATGAACGCCAAGTGGTGCTATCTTGCATCTTCTGTACCCGCGCTCGCCACCTCAAGGTAGCTCGAAGTCAGTTGTGCATAAGCCTCAAGTGACATGTACGCTATCAGCTTCACTGGACAGGCTAATGATTTTGCACATGTAAGGTTGCAGAAATTTTTCTCTCCCCACCCACCCGCACCAGTCTTTGCCGGCGAGGACTGTTCCGCCGGAATACTTCTTGATGCCATTTCATACATATCTTTGCAGGCGATGCCTGTGGGGATGCTTCTTGTCCCTTGATATCGGTTCATGCATATCTTTGCAGGCGATGACCGTTCCGCCAGGGGATACTTCTTGATATCGGTTCATACATATCTTTGCAGGCGATGACCGTTCCGCCAAGCAGACACTCTTTGGTAGGCGATGATTGTTCCGCCAGGCGATGATGTTCCGCCATCCGTAGTTGCAGGTATGAGGCTAAATGCCTCCTCGCGCAGATGTACCCCTTGTCACCGCCGGTGAAAAACAGCAGAGCCTTGCGAGAGCTGAGTACCCTTTCTGTGTTTGTTTGAGGTTGTGCGTCCAAGCCAAAAGCCCGAGCTTCTAAGTGTGATCCCTAATCCGGCAGCCGTTTATGCTCAAGATATTAAAAATTGTGGAATTCGCTGCGCTGCATTTCCTAAAGCCATGCGATGAACTATGGGCAATACCAGTCACTTCCTTCACAGGTGAACCTCATTTGTTTCCAAATTTTATCGAAGATTACTGTAATGTGCATGTGATGTTGCTCATGTGATGTCTTGGCAAGACTTAAGGAACGCAATGCAGAAGCCATTAACCCACTGTTAAAGGCCATCGATTGGTCGGTAAAAACCTCCTTTCTGGAGGCCCGGTATTTAGTGGGAGCTTCGACTTGCAAGTGAGACCACTTGGGTTGTAAGTTTTGGTTTCAAAAACTCCTACGATGCTCGAGACGTTGTTTTTGTTGTTGCAGTTAGAAACTATTTTCTTTGTTGATACAGGCTTCAAACCCAGAAGCCCTTCAAAAAATGAAAGTTTTCTTGTTGGTAAGTTTTAAAATCTTGCTTGAAACTAGTAACTAGTCCTTGGTTCCAACAGGCAGAGAACTTTGTAATTGCCGTGGGTTTTGGTTTTCCGAATCCTGAAAATGGGTTCCTAAAGCTTGTGGAAATTTTGCCGGGTTAGGAGGCCTCGGGAGGAGGCTTTCAGGCTTGGTGAGGGTTGGGAGGCGATGCATGGTACACGAATAGTGCGTTAAATCATGCCCGAATTCGTGCCCAATCGCGAAAAACACCATAAAAGCTGAGGTCTGAACAAACTCCAGCTCTCAAGCTCTGCTCCCCATCCATGTCCCTGCAATGCGTGGTCACAGCTTTTGCTTCTGCAGCTTGTGGTTGTCTGCCAGTTTGCTGGCATCCTTGCCCCACAGCAAGGGCAGTGTTTTGTGCTGGCCACATGATGCTTGCCGGTTGGTGAACCAAACTTGTGGATTTGATAAAAAGCTAGCTGCGCAGAATTCCCAGGCGCATGTGGATCTCTTGGTGCAGCGTGCGCATGAAGTTACTACAAACTTTACCGTGCTACACATCGGCACAAATCAGCTACTGGATGAGGAGTTGCAATGGTATCAGCAGCTTCAGAGACGTATCCGCCAAGACACGGCAGGTGCTCGGACCTTGAGATTGTTCTTTGTTGAGCCACAGCCGCAAGCAGTTCATCGCCTCAGGGAGAGGGCGCGGCAGATTCAGCAGGAAGGTGTGCAGATCACATTCATCGAGGCTGCACTTTGCACTGAGAATGATACGGGTCAGGTCTTCTATATCCTTACGGAAAGGCTCTACAAGGATTTCCCAAACTACAAAATCCCTAGGGCCAGGATCGGATTTCTCAGCTCCTTCTCCAAGAATCGCATAAGAGAAATGGTCTTGCAATATGCCACCGAGCAGGACTTTCTTTCAAGTCCGGAGGTCTTAGACGTCTACATTGACGAAATTTCGGTGAGGTGCTGGGACGCTCAAGGGCTCCTAAAGCAGGCTGGGCTCAAACCTGCAGACATCGACGTGCTGGTCACAGACCTGGAGGGCTACGACACGCAGTTCCTGCCATTCTTCTTTGCATTGGAAGGTTTCTCCCCGCTTTCCTTGACCTTTGAGCACTATGGCCAGCTGCTGCCGAGCATAGTGACTCAATGGACCATCAGAGAGCTGGCTCACCGGGGCTATATCGTACACTGCCACAGACAGGATATCATTGCAATTCACCTTGGGTCACGTCCCACGAAGAGAATCCAAAGCTTGTACAGATCCGCAAGTGCAAAGGTTGCCTCTCTCCCTACCTTTGACGAAGAGCTGCAGCGTTTCAGAGAATCTGGGTCTACAGCCGAGGGGTTTGTTCAGCATTTTATCTCGCCATGTTTGCCAATGGAATTAGCGACCCATCGGTTTGGTGATATTGGAGAGGATTGCCCTTCCGCATCCTGGCTTCCAAAAATTGGAGGAAGAGCTCCGCTGCTTGAGCTTCCTGCTGAAAGTGTGCTGGCAGTGGGTGCACACAACTTGCAGGCTTTGGTGGACGTAAGCGGCTGGCTCCGTGCGAAGCTGGTCTTAGTTGTGGCCAGACCAAGCTCAACACCGACATTGCCCAGCTTGATAACACAGATCCGCGACTTGCTCAAGAGTCGGTTTATTCGCCACATTTTCATGCAGGGTCCTGAGTTGTCGCATCCAGACTATGAGGCTTTGCCTTCGGGCTTGGACCCTCACTTACAGCTTGACAGTACTGAAGTTCCCAAGCAAAGCAACCTGATCGGCATCAGTGATACCAGCGAGGGTCCTCACCAGAAACGTGGCATCAATGACTCGGCTGCTATCGCTCCTCAGATCGCAGGGACACCGCCTTTGATTGTTATGGTTATAGTTAGTTTATAGGTTTTTAAGATTTTGATTGGTGTGGCTAAGCATGGGCAGCCCGAGCCTATACGTTCTTCTGCCAGACAACCTTTTTGGAGGTTCACGGGTAGTTATAAGTAGGGCTAGACGTCCCTTAATATGGGTTGTAACTATACTTATCTTGCTTAGAACGAAATATCATAAAAAATGACTACCCGTGAACCTCCAAGTTGTGCCTTCAGCTCAGGCTCATGCGCGCTATGTCATGCGAGAAGGTGAGACAGGTGATCTAACGGAGTCCCGCTGTTGGGAGGCCGTAGCCTTTGGAACCATCCCGATCTCCAAATATCCCAAGGATCAAAGGGGAAAAGGAGGGACCCTTAATGGGGACCCCAGCCCTATAATGGGCAATACAAGGGGAATATAATGGTTATATTAAAGGTATATACCCATAATATATATAGAGCTATTATATACCCAGTATATAATAGCTATATTATGGGTAATATACCTAGGGGTCCTTATTTAGGGTCCCTCCTTTTACCCGTGGAAAGGAGCTCTACGCGGCGCTCTTCTGCAAGGGCAGCCCGGCGCTAGTAGAAAGAGGGACCCTAATAAGGACCCCTACCAAAGCCTACAAGAAAGGTAGGGTCCCTATAAATTCCATACTGGGGTTTATAACAAGAACCTAGAAAAAAGTAGGGTTTGGTAGGTTCAGGTAGGTATATACCCATAATGTAGCCCATTAATAGGGCTGCTCTCTTTTGCTTTTTTTATGCACAACAGGAGAGTGTCCGAGGCATGGTGCTGGTGCATGACGACGAGGATCTTCGTCAGCTCGCGCTTTCCCTTCCAGATCAGCCTGCATACAGGAAGCCGTCCCGGGATCAGCTGCTGGTAGCATTTTGGAAGCTACGGGTGGCTCTTGCCATACAGAAGATCAAAGGCATTGCTCTGCCTGCCGTTTGCGACTTGCTGCGAGAGGGTGGCTGACCTTTAAGTGCCCTCGTCATCTCCAAGTTCTCACAAAGTCTCGCAGCTGCGACTCTCGCGGCCCCACAATTGTGGCACCTACATGTAGAACAACGCAGTCGTGACGCTACTGCACTTCTTGACACCTCGGATCATCGGCGCGAGGAGGCGCGCTTGCTGTTCCAACCAGCATGGCTGTAGGGTGCACAGGTGCCGTGCAGAGCCGTGCACCCTACAGGCCACATGACACTGTGGTTGTCTCTGCGTCGCCGACGACTTCATACGACTTCCGCAGGAGGGGTTTCTGCAGTTGAAAAATCCCCTCTTGGGTCACAGGATGAAGAGCGGGACAGTGACATTGGCTCAGGGGCATGTTTTCTTGCCATGATTGTGGGCAGACGTTGCGAGCTTCGTGAATCCGGCCCTGCCCAGGGTTCGGAGGGACCAAAAAAACCCAAGATCTGTTTGAGGAAGCTTCCAAAGCTACGCAATAACTATGCTTAGCAACATGCACTCACGCAGCATGCAGAGCATGCGTGTTGTTCCGGTGCTTAGTTGCCGGAGGTTGACGCAAACGGCATGTTCATTGAGGCTGAGCCGTCACCGCTCAGGCAGTACTTGGAGGATCGTGGGATTTAGTAAGTACCGTCTCAGTACCCCAATTCGGGCTCTAAGTGCTTATGAGTACAATTACAGTAATAATAACCCTAGTTACTAAGTCCCACGATCCTTTAAGTACTCGGCCAGCGAGCCTTCTTGACGTCGGGTTTGCACTGAGCCCTGCGCCCGAGCTGCCTGTGTTTCCTTGTGGGCAAACTTCACGTGGACAGTTTGTCTTGCAGAAAAGCGAAGATGTACTGTTTTTGCGAAGGAAGACAGAGCTGTCCCGCGATCTTGAACGGATTTGATTACCAAGATCTAGAATTGGCGCCGATGCTCTGAAAGGATAGGCTTGGTGCATTTTCGCTTTTGGAGGCTTGCAGACGCCGCTTACCTTTCGGTTCAAACTGCCATGTCGCAAGGCCGGGCTCGGGCCTGCTCCCGTAGGCGCAATATGGCCCGATAGTGGGTGCTGGGTCCCCTGGCTCGGCGCGCCATGGAGGAGAGCCCGGCGAGCCTGAGAGCCGTGATGCAGCAGATCGAGCAGCTGATCCAGAGCCTTTTGGGTGAGCGCGAGCGGCAAAGCGGCCCGGGGCCGATCCAGACCGAGGAACTCGGGCGCCGGGGGTCCGTGCACTCCGTGCAGCTGAGTTTGCCGAATTCCCCGCGGAGACCCTCCATCACCCACACCCCTCCCGCTTTCGCCCCTCCCGCCGGCCCTCCTTCCATCACTCCGGGCTCGGTGCCCGAAGATGAAGCCTGCCCGAGCCCGAGCCTTCCTCCGATGGACATCTTGGGGTCCCACGTGCAGCCGCCAAAGAAGAACCCGAAGACCCTGAATCCCCAGCTGTCACAGGTGTCCTTCGCATCCCAGGCATCGCACCAAAGCCGCCAGGTGACGCCCAGTGATGACGGCACCGTCTCAGAGCGGCTGGAAGGCTTCGATGGCTTCAAGCTCCAGCCCGCATGGGTTAAGCGACAGCAGGAGCAGAGTACCATGAGGATCAAGCCCGTGTCATCCACCGTTCGCGGACCGACGCCCACCCGCCCACATGTCATGACGCTGGTGCCTGCAAGAGCTCTGAAACCACTCCTCGCCGGGAGTCGGATCTCTATCTTGCTGGACTGGAAGCCGCTTCCCGGTCCTTGTTAGGGAGCTTTAATCGAAGCTACCACAGTTTAGGGACCTATAGCAAATAAGGACAGAGAGCCGTGCTTCAGAATCCGCCTTAGCCGTCCTTCAGAATCCGCCTAAAGAGGCATCCCTGAACCAAATACACCCAAAAAACCCCCCTCAACCCCAACAAAAAGTCGCCCAGCTGAGAGGCTTTGGGGCCTCATCGCAGGGGCGCTGATCCTCTTCGACTGCCTCTTCATCCCCCTCCTCGCCTTCGAAGTGCGGGAGCCCTGGGCCTTCGACTTGCGCCTTGGCGCCTGCGATGCCTCGAGATCTCTTTAATGAGGGTTTTTTTGGGGAAAAGCCTAGTTTGTAGTATATTATGGCATAGTATATGGTATTATTATGGTATAGTATTATGGTATGTTGTGGTATATTATGGTATATTATACCTGATTTTGGGTATAAGAAGGATCCTACTATTTGGGGTACTGTATTCAGGTCCCCCTATTTTTGGAAAACCCCATATATCTTTAATGAGGGGTCTATGAGTTACCTTAGCCTACCAAACCCTACTTTTTTGTAGGTTCTTGTTATGGACCCTAATATGGAGTCTATGGGGACCTCTACAAAAAAGTAGGGCTTGGTAGGTTCAGGTAGAGGGCATCTCCGGGTTCGGATGTAGAACAAAGAATCCCCGTGCCCTCTTCGTCTCTAAGGGTGCGAAAGGCTATAGGAGAACGTTTCCAGGCCCTTCCCTTCCTCGGATATCCGCCCGCCAAGCTCAAGCCATTTGCCCCAAGTCCCAACCGGCAGGGAGGAAGCAGCGATCCCAACTTAAGCCCACCAAAGGGCTTAAAGGCTTAAACTTAAACTTAAAAGAGCCCCCAAACGCCACGCAAAAAAACTTAACAACGAGCGCAGAAAACCATAGAACCTGAAGCGCCTCCACAACCCTTTCGAAGCATGCCGAGGATTCGCATCCTCTTCTGGTCGCTGAGTTTGCCCATCATCTACAGCTTCAGCTCGCAAAGCGGCTGCCTCGGGTCCCGTGACCTGACCCTGAAATAAGGCCCAGCGGGCCTGAGCTTCCATGGTTTCGGGTTCCAGCTTCCCAGTGCTGCGGAGTTTTCATGTCATAGGCCTCTCGACATCAGCCCTCAACCCCAATGGCCAGGAAGTGTCTTGCAGAGTTCCCTACCCTAAAGCCCAATTAGGTGGGTTGTTTTTGTCAGATTGAAGGTTTACTCCTCAACCCTGCAAAAAGCACGAGGGCGCTTATGTTCCCTGCTTAAAGTGGTCCTGCAGTTGTTACTTGTTTTTGCCATGGTGAAGTGTGCAACTTTGCGGTAGTCAGGGTTCGCTTCTGCCTCATGCCTGAACCTGCGACCCCTTCAACGTCCCAGCATACATGCCCGAAAGGAGCCTTCACGAAACGCAGAGTCTCCAAGAGGGCACCACTCAGAGACGTATACCCCTGGATGTGGAGTCAGGGGCCCTTCGTAAGCAATCTCAAACCAGGCGATGTCGCCCCGCACAAACGGACCCCGAAACCCCACACCGCCTAAACCCTAAACCCCTAAACCCTAAACTGACAGTCTTTTCCTGTTTCGCATTGCTTGAGGCTGTCTATGTTCGATGCTACATGGGAATTTTCGACAATTAGGCGTGCCTTTTTCTGGGGTCCTTATAATCAAGATCCTACTATTTAGAGTGCTATATTGGGGTCCCCTATTCTCGGAAACTCCCACATGGCGAAACCGTGAAGTTGACTGGGCCGACATGACCTGCTCCGGCTCAAGTTGCAGACCCCCGAACTTGGAATCTGCGTATCAAGGACCTATAGTCCCTAAACCCTGAGCCACACCTTGAACTCCGAACCCTGAAAGCACCAGAATCCCTAAACCCTCAACCCTCAAACCTCACGTATTACGGGGGCTCAAATAATTACCTACACTATTTTGGGGGTTCCTTATGATAGTTAGAGTTTAACATACCCCTAAACCCTAAACCCTATACGCTAAACCCTATACCCTTATAGTACGTAATCCTTATAGATCCTTTTAAACACAACCCTTAAAATAACCCTAAACCCGTGAACCCTAAACCCCTGAAGCCTATAGATCCCTGTAAAGGAACCTTGTAAAGGAACCCTAATAGATCCCTTTAAACCCTATTCTAATCATTAAGGCCACTATATCATAGAACCCTACTATAGATCCCCCTTAGAACCCTTTGATAGGACCCCTCAAAAAGGAACCCTATTCTAACTATGAACACAACCCTTAAAGGAACCCAAAACCTCTAACCCCCTAAACCGCAAAAGCCTATAGACTATAGATCCCTTTAAAGGAACCCGAATAGACCCCTTAAAACCCTACTACACCCCTAACCCCCTAAACCCTATTCTAATTATTAAGGCCCCTATATCATACTAACTTTTAACACAACCCTTAACGGAACCCTACTAAACCCCAAAACCCTAAACCCCTAAACCCTAAACCCTACTAAACCCCTAAACCCTTTAACCCCCTAAACCGCAAACCATAGTACGTAATCTTTCTAGATCCTTTTAAACCCCGAAACCGCAAAACCCAAAACTCCCAACCAAAAACCCTAAACCCTAAACCCCAAAATCCTAAACCCCAAAACCCTAAACCCTAAACCCTATTCAACCCCTAAACCCTACTAACCCCCTAGACCGCACAAAGCCCGCTTGCTCAGGAGCTCTGGGTGCCTTCGTCTCGGACGGCCTTCTGGAGGTGCTGCTTCTGGTGCTGATCCTCTGCTCTCTGGTGCCCGCCTTAGGGAGTTTTAGGGTTTAGGGTTCAGGGAGTTTAGGGTTTAGGGAGTTTAGGGTTTAGGGAGTTTAGGGTTTAGGGAGTTTAGGGTTTAGGGTTTAGGGCTCGGACTGTCTGAACTCTGAAGCGCTTCGCAGGATCAAGGGCCTCATGCTTGAAGAGGGGCTGTGCTCCGCCATAGCCGGCTTGTCAGACTAGGGCTTCTGGATATTTGAGAGGGTGAAGAGTAGGATCGTTGCACGATCAAACCCGCGAAACTTTGGTTGAGGCTGAAACTTTCGGCGACCCTGCACAGGTCAAGACATGCATGTTGCTGACTATGACGATGGTGATGATGACCACAGCGAGGATGATAACGACGATGACGATGATGATCACGATAGTTGTGAACATGGTGTTGACTGAAGAGCCTCGAGGTCTTGAGCATCCCCGCCATTGCCATCATTACCATCATTGCCATCATTGTCGTCGTCACCATCATCACCATTATGCCCATCACCACTATCACCACTATCACCACCATCACCACCATCACCACCATCACCACCATCACCACCATCACCACCGTCACCACCATCACCACCATCACCACCATCACCACCATCACCACCATCACCACCATCACCACCACGATCAGAACCATCACAATCATTATCATCACAGGTAACATCCCCAGCAGCATCACCATTGCCCACACAATCGCCATTGCCAACACCATCGCCATCATCGCATCGCCATGGCGTGGTTGCTGAGGCTTTGTATGTGCTGCTAGGTATGCATGCTTGCGGCGCTGATAGAGATGATGGCCGTCATGATGATGACAGTTTTCCTATGCCTGATTTGATGATGAGGCTTATGTTTAGGATATTCAGAATCATTGCAATTAGTACTGTTCTTGTGCTTCTGCTGTTCTTGTGTTGCGGTGGTTGCGGTGGTTTCGGTGGTTGTGGTGGTTCCGGTGGCTGTGGTGATTGGGGCATTTCGTTTTATGTGTCTGTGTGTAGTTTGCAGTTTCTTGTTGGTTGCTATTTGTTTCCTTTTTATTGTCTCTTGTGCGCTCTGCGTGGTAGTTGTTATTTTTGCTGCTTCTTCTGCTGCTTTCGCTGTCGCTGTTGTTGTTCTTGTTGGTTTCTTGGTCTTGCTCTTGTTGTCGTTCTTGTATTGATACTTTGATACCCTCTCTTGTGATGGAGTGCTCTCGTTTACTCTGCATTTCACGCTAACATCCCAGCCCGGAGGCTTTTGATAGCTGACACAGCACATGAACATCAGGGTTTAGGGTAGCCTGAAGATTCAATCCCAAACCGTCATATGCATTGAAACCCTAAACCTTAAACCCTAAACCCTAAACCGAGGTGCAAGGCAACGACCTTTCTTTGGAGGCTCAGTTCCTACTCCGGGGCCCCGAGCCGCTCGGAGAAATGTTTCCGCTTGGGGTCGGGGATTTTTTGGTGTTCAGGGGGGAATTTTAGGGTTTGGGGAGCCAATTTTAGGAAAGAGGGACCGAACTATTTCCAAGGTTGTTGGGGTTGGGGGCTTGATACTGCAGATATAGGAGCGACCTTTGTGAAGATTAAACAGGGATTGCAGATGCTCAAAGGACACACGCGGAGGTAGAGATATGATGAGGATTTTCGGCTTTAGAGGGTCCGAGGTCACAGGTGGGGTGGGGTTTCGGGGCCATGGGATCCTTGAGGTTTGCTGTATTTCCGGTGTTGCCGCCGAGACCCCCGGTACCTTTTTGAAGCCAAAGCACCGAGGCTACTACGCCTGCGCTACGTGAAGAAACTGACAGGTGTCCGTGGTCTTCCGAGGCCCCAGATGTGCAAGGGAAGTTTGTACAGACTGCGTTCGGAAGCAAAACGAAGGTAAAGAATGCGCTTGGTATAGGATGTAGCATACTACACCGTAGCTGCAGCGTCTCTTCCACGGCCACCATCAACTCCTGCAGACATGCTGAATCCTTGAAAGTGGTTTGCAGTGGAACACCCACGCGAAGCGCTCCAGCCCCGACACCGTAACCCAAACATTGAGCCCTCCTCCCTACTGTTGATGATATAACCCCTGCATTACCTTCAGGACCCTAAACTATGGGAATTATGGTATATTCCTCATTATGGGTCATGCAGGATTTGTATCATCTACCGTAGAACCTGAATCGACCCGAGACCCTGAGCCCCAAACACATCCCAAGCAAGAAATCTGCGACGCCGCGCAAGTGCCTGCTCAGGTGGCTTGTCCGGCAAAACCGAGGCAAGAGCAGCAGCATAGTGGCAGTTTCATTTGTTACCACTATGACAGCACGAGGCAGAGCGCCATGTCCCTAGCGTCAGTGTGGAAGGCAGTCTCTTGGAGAGTCCCTAAACCCTAAACCCTAAATCCTAAACCCTGAGCCCCTAAACCCTAAACCCTAAACCGCAGCCCTGCCCCTCGAAGCTTCCGCTTCGCCCCCGAACTCCGCAGGCGAGCTGCAGAGGCTGGAGGTTCGCGCGGCCGCGAACCTCTTTTACACCCTCCTGGCCTGTGCCTAGGACTCCCAAGCGAGCTGGGGTCTTTCAGGGGCGCCCGACAGTTTTCTAGACGTCGATTGGGTCTTCATGCTTGGTTTTTTTTTGGCTTTGGCGGCGCTCTCGCACAGGAGAGCTTTTGGTAGGCCATGCAACCCAAACCCTACCCAAAAATCAAGAGTTGAGGCGCCTAAACCCTTCAGCCCCATGCAGCTATTTTATGGTCTGAAACCTCGGGTTTTCCCTAAACTCTAAACCGTGAAGTTCAGGACTTGTACACCCCAAGCCCCATAAACCATAAAGCTTACCATGACTAGAGCCCAAACCCCAAACCCCAAACCCTAAGCAACCCTAAACCCTGCCCCCTAAACCCCCCTTATACCTTAAAGCTCAAGCCCTGAAACCCAAGCAGCCCTAGTAAGCCCGACAATACCATCTTGGCTTCCAATGAGTAACCCTAACAGCTTGATAGCCCGTAAACCTCCAAACCCACAGGCCCTAAAACCCTAAACCCTAAACCCTAAACCCTAAATCCTAAACCCTAAACCCTAAACCCTAAACCCTAAACCCTAAGCCCTAAACCCTAAACCCTAAACCCTAAAACCCTAAACCCTAAACCCGAAACTCCCCCAAAAAAGCCCTAGGGTCCCAAACCCTAAACCCTAAGCCCTCCAAGGGTACCCTTTGAGGCCTCATTGGTTTCCACCTCCTGACCTGTGCCTGGTTTGCGGCTGGCCAGGCCGAGGCAAGGGTACATAGTGTGTGCATATATATATATATATATGTATATACTTTTGATGTATAGACAAGTAAGTAATTCGATACGTACATATCTTTTCTGTATACACATATGACATCTACATATCATATACGCATGCATGTAGATGTGCATATGATTGTACAATATAGCATGCACATATGTAGTACAGCTGTATGGATAGATACAAAGACCGATCGTTAGATAGACAGATAGATAGTGTTACTGTTGATGATATAAATCTTGCATTACCTTAAGGACCCCAGACTATGGGAATTATGGTATATTCCTTATTATGGGTCATGTAGGATTTCGTCCATTCTTGAAGAGTCGGTGGGGTTGCGGGTTGTTTTGGAGCTTCAGGTTGCGTTAATGATGACTCACAGGGCTTAGGGGCTTTCAGGTTTTATGGGTCTTGACTGGGTCATTTTCAAGGATAGTTCGTACTTATTTTTGAGGGTTCGAAGTTACTTATTTGCTTGTAAAGCCGAATTCCACTTGCCGAGGCTTCTTCTTCTTCGAAGACAGGTAATGTAGGCCCTTGATGAAAAACCTCCAGGCCCCCTTATCACAATCCCTTTCAAGTTGGGAGGGTTATGTGGCAGTGAGGAGTATATATTGTAAGTCTTTTCTAGACGGCTGGGCCCTAAACAAAGAGATTAGAAGCTTACCTTTGGTTAGTAGGGAATGGAACAATGGTAATAATAGTAGTTATAATTATGCCCCATTCCTCCATTCCCTACTAACCAAAGGTAAGGAAGCCCTAAACCCTAAACCCTGCAAGGATGGATGGGGGACTACCGGCCTGCACGCGGACCTGGCCGAGCGATCCGTGCCAGAGCAGTACCGTATCACCCTGGAAACTGGGCCCATGAGCTTCTTTTTTCTAAGGTGTAAAGATTAAACATATTGGGGAAAAAATGTTTTGGAGTTTATGAGCTTCTTTTTCCCTACGGTGTAAAGATGGGCATCTGCCCGGTTGTAGCGTTGTAAACAACGAGAAAACCCAGCCCTAAACCCTAAACCCAAAACCCTAAACCCTAAACCCCAAACCCTAAACCCTAAGCCCTAATAAACCCTAAACCCGGGAAGTGGAGCTCATGAGGAGTGGGCCATCTCCCGCATTCCGCCCTCGAAGACCACGGACAATGAGCCCTGGTTTCACTGGAACTGTTGATGATATAAATCCTGCATGACCCATAATAAGGAATATACCGTAATTTTCATAGTTTCGGGCCCTTGAGGTAATGCAGGATTTATATCATCAACCGAAGCACGACAAAAGGCTCCGTTTCAAGTGTCAGCTGCTCGTTTTATGATCCAAGCCGAAGGCATGATGCTTTAATTGCTTTGACATGAGCCCTTGCCCCGTACCCGCCCAAAGTTGCTGGGCACAGTAACTGCACTTTTGAGCAACCTCACGCCGGACAGAGTTTCACTAGCCGAGCCTACCCAGAAAATACCGGGCGGTCCAGTCTTTGAGCGTCTTCGAGAAGAAACCATACTTGTAACTACCCATGAACCCTAAACCCTATAATTAATCATATACCCTAAACCCTATAGAGCCCTTATAGGGGTTATCACTACCCATGAACCCTCAACCCTATAATCACACACCCTAAACCCTAAACCCCATAGAGCCCTTACATGGGGTGATAACTACCCATGAACCTCCAAGTACACCCCCCGGAAGCCCAGAAACCCTAAGGTCCTGCTGGCCACCCAGCTGGAGCGGGCCATCGCACTAGCGGCCACCGCCATGTCGCTCCTGGCAGCCGCTGGCAAGAAAGGGCGGCTTTTGGGGTTTAGGGCCCAGGGTTCAGGATTTAGGTTTTAGGGTTAAGGGTTGAGGGAGGTTGGAGGTTTCAAAAGGTGGGATGAAGGCAGGTAGGATTAAGGATCCGGTATGTCAGGACCGTACTTGTGAAAACTCCACCTGCCTTCATCCTACCTTTTGAGGCCCCTGATTAGGTTTCTGCTTACAGTAGGGCGTTGGGGTTGAGGGTTTAGGGGTTAGGACAGTTGGTATGGCAACTAACTCTTGCTGTCACCGGATTCGAAACGGCTGCTCTGGGAAGTGTAGAGTCCGCACAAAAAGGCCGCCGGATTTGGGGTGCGCGGCTTTGTACTTAGGATGCAGACGGCTTGTTATAAATTTAAGAAACATACAGCGGAATATAGACGGCCTTTTGGTACGGTTTAAAGCAAAGTATGACGTAGAATGATGAGGCTTCCGTTTTGATTCGAGCAAAATGGAGAGGGCTTACGGAGAGAACTGTATTGTTTCAGTACTTAACAGGTTTATGTCACAATGTGGACCATGTTAGGAAGCACAATCCCGACTGTTTGAGCTTCGAACCAGGATCATGACAGGGTAAAATTTGATTCTCACCTCACCATCTTGCACTTGTCGCGTTACACTTGCACCATCAGCAGTAGGGTCCTGCTGCATCTATGTTCGCTTGAAGCCAAGCAAGCGCATGCAGGGCGGGCATGAACCTGAAGTGGGAATCCTGAACAAGGACATGCCAATGCACCACCCCTAAATCGAAGCTCCAAAAACTGCACTTAAAGACTTAACCCCCGAACCACTAAATCCGAGCCTTGATCTGAATACCTCAGAGCCCTTGGCCTAATGGATAAGGCGTTGCTCGCTCGAAGTCCCTTCAGACTTTGCAGACGCAAATTATGGGGCGCAGGGTTGGTTGTAGGTTTTGGAGCAAAGAAGTCGAAGGCGGAAGCAGAAGGAGGAGTTTCCGAGGAGTGCCAATCGTTGCTGAGGCCTCCATTTTCACGTCCATCGTGACCAACGACATGTCGGAGATCCGGGTTGTAGAGTAGGGCTTCGAGGGCATTTCAGGGTTGGTGAAGGGCCGTTTCACGGAGCAGCCAAAGCCGAAGGGGTGGACCAACCCGAACAGCAGCCGGTCCCTGTATCTGGAAGTTCTACATGACAACGATGCCTCTTCAGGAGGTCAGAATCCCAGTCTCTTCGCTTCCACAACTGCAGAGCCCCATCATCCTCAAGCCCCAAACCAAGGGGCGTTCGAGCACTCGAGCACGCCAGCGCGAAGCCTTCGGCTCATATTCTACTCTGCTGTGAGCCTGCTTTGGAGTGACAACCAGATGCTAAGGGGATACGAAGAGAACCCCCCTGAATCTCTAGACACGTCCTGCCTTCACCCAACACCCCCAAAACCTCAATCTCCCAAGCGCTACCACCCAAATCCTCACCAACAAACCCAATTCTCAAGTCTCGGCGTCGTATCCTCAATTCGGCTCTCGAGGACATCCGCCGCGTGCAGCGACAGCAGGGCGAGGCATACTGTCAGCTTTCCGATGCTTGGACACTGATGGATTTTCCAACTGCTTTTTTGTAGTGTGCGCGCGCGAGGGTCTGTGTCTGTGTGTCCGTGTGTAGAAGCACGCAGAAGCATTCTAAGTTTTGAGCAGAACTTGTTTAAGACTTCTTGCAGGGTTGTGGGTTTATGGGTCAACAGCAAGGTCATGGCCATGGATCATGTCTTTGGTTTCATCGAATAGACCCCCCCAGGATTTCCTCGAGACGTTTCCTGTGTCCTGGACGCTGGAGCGGCAGCTGAAGAACTACCTGAAGCAGACGGTGAAGAGAGTGACCTTGCCAAGCAAACGACGCTGGGCCTGGACCTGTACCGGAAACTTCCTTAACCTCCATCGACTGCGCCCTTACAAGCGCAGAACCAGACCCGGAGAGCCCAATACCTCGTAATGAAGGGATTTATTAATTCGGGGTATACGGGACACAAAACCTGAAGCAGCCCTCATGCCCGTTTTTTCGGAGAAGGAGCTGAGTTGTTTTTGTTTTTTTGGGGGGGTTCACGGCGTTCCAGGGCGGGGCGGACCGGACCGTCTTTGGGATTTTGGGGCTCAGAGCTGCGCGGTGCTCCCAGGAGAGATGGCCACGCTGCTTCCTGACATGCTGCATGGGCAGCTGTGCTCCGAAGCTCTAGGCCCGGCTCCTCCCTTGGGGAGATGCTTGGGCTGGGCTTTTTTTTAAGAGGGGCTTCGGCCTTCCTTTGGAGGTCCTGGTTTTCCGTTTCATGGGCTTTGGGGTTTCGGGCTGGGGTCCTGCATTAGCGTGGTAGGCCTAGGATTGCAGGCTTGGTTGGGGTTTCGCGCTGCTTCCATTGCACTAACTAACCAGAGCGAAATGCGGCGCAGAAAATCCCGGCCGTCCTTGCTGGCACGTGAGGTGCGATCCTGAGTCGTCATCAGTTGCTTGGCCGGGAGCTTCCTCGGGGCTCTGTAGGGATGACGATGCTTGGGAGTGTCACGTTGCTCTTGAACTTGTGAATGCCTTTGCGGGAGCTGTTTCTTGTCTCATTAGGCTAGTCACCCGCCTTGCCCTTGCCCCTTCTCCCACGGTTCCTGGTGCTTCGAACGGGTCTTGACAACCGCGCCTGGGAACGGGCTCCTTTGTGCTGTTTCGCTGGGTTTTCGTAAGTTTCATGCGGGTGGTTGTCAAAATTATGGTCCCTTTTTTTTGGGTCCTTATTACAATTCGGCACCTATTAATCAGGGTACCCCAAAAGGGACCATAATTTTTGACAACCACGCATGAAATGCTGAGGATGTTCAAGGGCCTCATGGAGAAGTACCCGAGCTTCCAGCGCGACCTCTGTGTGAAAGGCGGGGGGGGGCCCAGTCAAGCAAACCCCCTGTGCCACAGAGCCAAGACTTGAGACTAGAATCCCGTAGCCCGTAATCTCCTACACCCACAAATCCCAAGAACCCCCTTCAAAAACTCTAGTAAGCTTAAACCGTACAGTGTTAGCTCTCGGTCGCTTCGGTTCCGAGAGGCCCTGCATAGTCGGGTAAGCCAGTCCGGGCCAAGATAGACCACTGAATGAATGCGAGTACGCTTAGGGTTCCTGGCTATGATCATACAGACGATAGTATAACACCAAAACCCTGTTGGAATTATTTCATTCCGGCCCTACAGTACCCAGCTTGAAGGTCTGGAAGACTGGACTTTGGCACCGGATGAGGCCCGGGCCGAAGCATGCTTACACAACGCGCAAAGAAGGAGTGCCTGAGACATAAGGCCCGACAAGAAGACCCTGAATCCTAAAACCCCAAGCCCAAGCCCCTCAAAAACCCCGAAGTTCCTGAAGAACCCTTCAACTGGGCCTTGGCCTCACTTCTAGAAGGAATCGCTGAGGGCTTGGAGCCTCAGGTCCTCTTTTCGGCAGGGCTGTCCTGCCAGAACATGCTCTTCGTGGCCTTCAACTTCGTGCCCGGCCCCGGCCGGCCCTTCTTTTGGGGCGCTTCTTTCTTCTTCTTTTAAAGAGGTGCTGGGGGGCCCTGGGATTCCGGATTTTTAGCACTTGGCCCCTGCGTTCTTCTTGCTTTGTGTGGGGGCCTTTTGGCAGCGTCGTCAGAAGGGGCGGTTCTTTTGGATCCATTGCTTTTTCTCTCGGACCCTAAACCCTAAACCCTAAACCCTAAACCTTCGGAGTTGGTTCACGGTTCACAAAAACCGATGGGCTGGCCTTCGGAGACAGACGGTGCCTGCTGCATCTCGGTCTGCAGTGGAACAAAGACGATTCCGCTGAGCATCCGGTAGCTGCCTGGGCCTGGGATGCTTTTTTTGGTGGTCTTTTTTTAGGGGCCAGACTTAAGAAAAAAGAACCACTTCGGCATACACTGTCAATTTGCATTCGAGGGCCTTCATCGAAATCAGTACCGTGGTGTTAACACGAACGGCTAGCCGCGGCTGCTGCTTTGTCACTGGTCTTTGTCCAGGGCCTTGTCCTTGTCCTCGTCGTCGACTTTGTCGTGTCGCCGTCGTCGCAGTAGTAGAAGAAACAATAGAGGTATAGGCAGTTGTTGTCGTGGCCGCGGTCATGGTGGTACTGGTTGTGATCGTCGTCGTGAGTACTTGTGCCCTTTATCCTGCTTCCCAGACAGATCACTTCTTCGCACTCCTGTCATTCACGATGCACATGAGCGCGTCTACGAGAGCAACAAGGGCTTTGCAGGGACGTTTTGGACGTTTTTGTTTGGCACCTTGTTTCATGCATGTTTGTGTATTCCTTGGTACAACCCACCCGGGAGCAAAATCAAGTATACCACACGGCAGAACCGAGCTTCAACCCTGTCACGTACTGGATCACTTGTGTAGCGGAGGGCAAAGGGCGGGGGGTGAGAAGCTTCAGGCCTATGGGGTTCCTTATGACTAGTATAAGAACAGTACAGTGGGCCCCAAGACCCGAAACTAATTATTAAGGCACCTATCTTAAGCGAATCCTTCTCAGGTGCTCTACAAGCGACAGGGCGTCGTGCTGCAAGAGGAGCGAAGTAGGCCTTCCAAGGCCGGGAGGAAGGTTCAAAGAGGCTTCCGGAGGGTACAAGTACGCCATTTGTGGGAGGCTAAGGCCCTAACTCCCCAAAAGCCCCCAATCCCTCCTTGTCGTACAGTCGTACACATCCTATCACTATACATATATACATATATATATATACATACACATACATCGGGAAGCCCTAACCCCCCTCACAAAAAAAAAAAACAAGTTGTTTTGGGAAGCTTCCGAGCTCCGAGCTCCGGAGGTGAAGACCTGGACCCTCCGTCACGGCCAGTCCTGGAACTCCCAAGCGTCCGCCCAAGCGTCGCCGATGCCCCTTCGGGGTACTTAGAAATATTTTTTAGTTTTTGGTTATTATAATCCCGAAGAAACAGCTAAAATTTTAATTTTTGCCAGGGTTCTAAGTTCAGTATAGGCCCGTCCTGTCCTCCAAGAGGGAGACGGAGGACCTCACCTTGCGAATCAAGCCAGGCCTTTTTCGAGCTTCGCTATTGAGAATACTAATGATACGAATAGTGAAAAAACGTAGCACCTATACTAGTACTACTACTAATGACTACTACTACTACTACTACTACTACTACTACTACTACTACGACTACGACTACGACTACGACTACGACTACGACCACGACTACGACTACGACCACGACTACGACTACGACGACGACTACTACTACTACTACTACTACTACTACTACTACTACTACTACTGCTACTACGACTACGACGACGACTACGACGACTACGACGACGACGACGACGACGACGACGACGACTACTACTACTACTACTACTGCTACTACGACTACGACGACGACTACGACGACTACGACGACGACGACGACGACGACGACGACGACTACTACTACTACTACTGCTGCTGCTGCTCGCCAGGCCACTGGTTGTGTGAGCCCTGCCTCTGGACGGACTGGCGCTACCTTGGCCAGGCCGTCGCCGGGTCCTCCGCGCAGCTCGGGACGTCCAAGCTTTGGGGGAGAGCCTTTAAGGGTCGCCCTTTCAGGGCTCCCCTGAGCTTATATGTGGTGTTTGGATTTTTAGATTTGGGCTTGGTGTTTTTTTTTTTTTTGGGGGGGGGGGGGCGGCTTTTTCGGCCCAGAGCGCAGTCTTTGCGGAGTTTTTACGGTCTCTGTTTGAGGGCACCGTCTCGCGCGCCAAGGAGCCTCCTCTGTTTGAACCAATCGCAGCTTCTGCACATCACCGCCGGGCACGCGGATATCTCAGCGGAGCTGGTGATCCACGCCCGACTCTTCCTGAATGCGCTGAACGACATCCCAGCGGAGGAGCTGAGTGACGTGCAACGTGTCTTGTGACGCACCGTTTCACTGCGCCGAGAAGTCTGCGCCAGGGATTTTAAGGGCAGCTACCGTCCGAGTCGTCCCCGTGTTTTGGTCCGTCACCTGGAGGGTGGCGGCCAGAACGAAAAGGGTAAGAATCCAAGCCGGTAAAGTTGAAGCTCGAAGGTTTTCGGATGGTTCGGGGAGTGTTGGATTGATAGTGTAGGTGTGTAGGTAGAAGTAGAAGTAGAAGCACGCCAAGACGCCTTGAAGATGAAAGCGGAGAGCTTTCAGAAGGGGCTTCTTTCCGTGACCCGGAAGAGGCCCGAAACCTGGGCTTTGAAAGACTTGACACCGGCGTGAGGATGTGTCAGGTTCGAGCTGAAGAAACTGTTTTAGTCTGATCTTCAAGACACGAATCCTCGCGGATCATGGCTGCCACTTTTTGCCGAAATTTCGGCCCTTTCAGCACCGAAGCCGTTGCCGCTCTCCTTCAGCAGCCGATAGAGACGGTGGGAGAAGCCAAGGCTTAGCAGAAGCCGATGCACGTCGGCCCTTGTATTTCGATAGCGAGTTCAAAGTTCTTGCGCTCGTCCTGCGAATGCAGAAGCGTCGGGCGAAGGGCAGTGAGAGAAATCCCAAAGCCTCCAAGACCCCAGTGCCGCCAACGTGGAAAACTTCATGACAACTCCCTCCAACAGGGCGGCTCCAAGATTTCGCGAAGCTTCCCTAAACCCTGAACCGTAAACCCTAAACTGGCTTGCTAGTCGGGGAGTGCCAGGACTTTGCAGATTCAATGCACTCAAAGACCCTTGAGAGGCTTCGCGGCTTGAGCTCGATCCTTCAGGCTTGAGGACTTGAGGTCCATGGGGCTTAGAGTGAGAGGTTCTTTATGACAAAGGGCCTTGTTCCAGGGTCTCTTTCATGAGGGGGACGTAGCCTCTTAGCGGAATTGACTGATCTTCTGCCCATGCAGGAGGCTCCACAATTACAGGTGCTGTCTACGTTTCGAAAAATAACGAACACCTTCCTAAGTTGATTTATCATGAATCCAATGTACCGTGCCCGCAGTCACTGAACCAAAACGTGCTGAACTGATTGAGACCCGCAGCCCCGAACTAACTGGGGAAAGCTCTTTGGCGATCTCAATGCCTTCATTCTTTTGTTGTCCGCGGCCCGCTTCGTATCTGCGGACTCCAGTGAGTTTTGAAGGCGTGCTCCAGGCTCGCGAAAGTGCTTCTTGAGGTCATAATATAGGTATAATATAGGGGTCTTAGTAATTACCTATACTTTTTTAAGGGCTCCTAAATATAATTATCGTATAATACCTCCCAAAACCATATTCTAGTTATTTAAAGCTCCTATAGTAACTACTTCCTGCACTCTTGATTATCGGTGGCATTCCATGACATGCACTTCCCCGTACTCCCAGTTGTAGTCTTAGAAGGAGTGTCCCATTGCTTCAAAGCAACGTGGACATTTAAAGGGCTGAAGCTTGACGCCAGAACATACGGTTGATGATATAAATCCTGCATTACCCATAATAAGGAATACACCATAATTCTCATAGTTTACGATCCTCAACAGTACTGTACAGGGGCTTAAATAGTTACCGATACTGTTTTGGGGGTTCCTTCGTACAATTGTAGTATCATGGGCCCCAAAACCCTATTCTAATTTTAACGCTACGCCGCCCGCCTCGACTCTGTAGCGGCAGGGCGAGGCGGTAGTGGATGTTATATACAGCAAGCTAGGCGGGCCTCTCAACCCCAACGTGAGCGTCGATTGTGCGCGCGCCATCTTCCGACCTTACTGCTCTTTTGCTGGTCATGCGGCCGCGGACGGGCACAGGGGGAGGTGAGGGGGTGAGGGGGGGAAGGCCGACAAATCGGTAAAATGAAGGGAAGCCGGACAAGGGGTGGCAATCGCACGCAAAAAACGGGTATCCCCAAACATTTGGACTGCAGGGAGGAGGATTAGGTGGAGGGTACCTGAGGTAACCACCAAGAGGCCTCGGCGGATTATTAAGGCCCCTACATAATGCAGAGGCAAGTCCTCATAAGTCCACTCAACAGGCTTGTTCTCTCCATGTCTGGGCAGGGTCTAGAGTCAGTAATTGTGGGTAATGCACCAAAGACAAACATCCTGGTGTAAGTCTTGGTCGGGCCCGCAATCTAGAACCATTCAGGTTTTAGGAGTTGGGTGTAGGGGTCAGGGTTCGATTAGGGTGAGCACTTGGAAGTGGCCTGTGGTGCAAGTGCACCAGTGACGACCGCCATTTTCCAGAGTCACGCTGTCGCCCGCTTGCGCGAGGCTTTAAAGACTGAGGACGCCCAAGCACTAGCTCACTGGCCCGGCATGAGGGCGAGCTTTGGCGTTTGGTAATGCAAAACTCTAAAGCACTCCTTCCTACGAGTCTCTTCGTGAAAAGACTCAAGAGTCACAGTTGGGCGCCCCAGTAATACGTGTCCAGAATGTGGTGCTAGAGTTCACGGTTTAGGGTTACGTGGAACCGGAATAAGGGCTGGACCATTACAGGGCGTTCAATATTTCGCTCTACATTGCTCTCAGGGCAACATAGAGGCAATGCAAAAGACGGAATCATCACAGAATCGCTTGCTAATCCCCTAAGCCCGAAACTAAACCCTAAATGTCCTTTTCAGGGGGACCCTTCTGGGTTTTTTTGCACGAAGGGTGCTTGTTTGCCTCGGGGACTCTCTTCTTCTTAAGTCCGTGTCCGTCTGTGGTTTTTGTTGTTCGATTCTTCTCGGATTGTTGAAGTTAGGGTTTATTGGGCTGCATGATTCCGCCGTGATAGGACATGATTTTGTTTGTTGTCGCTGCTGCTGCAGTAACTGTGTTGATGATTACGACGAAGCATTTTGAAGTGTCGTTCTCGCCGAGGACTCTTGCAGGCTTGACTCTCGTTCCTAAACCCAAGCCCTAAACCCAGGCCCTGAACCCTAAGCCCTACAGTACATGCTAAACCCTGAGCCCTGAAGCATGACCTGATTTTAACAGTCTGCAGTCTGCAGCGGAGCCTTCGAGTGTCTGGGTTTCGTTGTTTTGATTGCGCTGCTCGCCGGACGGCTCAACTTTGAGGGACACACTCAGTTTATGCAGTGTTGGAGCGAGCTCCAATTGGTATGTTACCGCACGTCAAGCGTACATCCCTGAGCTCAAACTCTGCATCTCAAATCCTGCAGACCCTACTAGGAACAAATCCTTAACCCTGAAACCCTCAAAACCCCTACAACCCAACTATTGAAAGCTTCGACTTCATGTAATACCGGCTCATCTCTCAGACCCTGTGCAGTTGTGTACCCCCTCAAAGATGCATCGGATCAAATGGTGTGTGACCCCGTGCTTCAACAGCTAGCCAGCTAGCAGCCAGATGCCGGCTCAACGTGCCCACTGCCATGCGCGGCTTGTGAGGTGGGGTGATTAGGATGGTCTCATCAGTGCAAAGCTTTGTGATCTTAGTGAAAGTAGGCTCAATATTCTGGCTGCTGCTGCCGTTGCTACTGCTTCTACTAGTACTTTTGTGATCACGATCTGTACCACTGCCACTGCTGCTGCTGCTGCTGCTGCTGCTGCTGCAGCTACAACAACTACTGCTACTACTGCTACTACTACTACTACTACTACTACTACTACTACTACCGCTACTTGCCACTTGCTGCTTGCTACTTGCTTCTTGCTACTTGCTACTGAAGACTTGCTACTTACTACCATTACGACTACTACTACGACTGCTACGACGACGTCTGCTCCTGCGGCTGCTGCTGCTGCTGATACTGCTACTGCTACTCCTACTCCTACTCGTACACCTTCTACTACTCCTACCACGAGTACTACTACTACGACGACGACGACCAGCACGACTATTGCGGAGCTACTACTACTACTACTACTACTACTACTACTACTACTACTACTACTACTACTAGTACCACTACTACTACCACTACTACTACTACTACTACTACTACGACGACGACCACCACGACTATTGCGGCGTTTGCGTGACTACTACGTTCCGAGTCCCATCAAACCAGAGTACTCGGTGGTCCCCTGCTTTTAGTAAACGGTGCGGCAACTAATCCTAAACTCTACAGAAAGCTTCTTCGAACTGGAGCGAGGCCTCGGCTTCAATGGACCCGGACGTGCCTGGAGCTTAGGGTTTTTGGGCTTGAAGTCCCCTCTAAGGTTTCCTGTAAGGGTTCTCTTAAGGGATCTCTAAGGGTTCCTTTAAGGATTTTGGGGTTTAGGGGTTTAGGGTGTAGGGGCCGACTCCCGTCCCGACAAGCCGCATGCCCTGTTGGCCTTCTGGGGTGTCATTGGCAGCACAACTTAGCTTTGGTTAGTAGGGAATGGAGGAATGGGTTTAGGGTTTAGGGTTTAGGGTATAGGGTTTGGGGTTTTGGGTAGTAGGGAATGGAGGAATGTGGTACAATGATAACTACTATTACTACCATTCTTCCATTCCCTACTAGCCAAAGGTAAGCAACACACCCTTGTACACTTTGTACCTATGTACTTGTGACACTGGAACAATAAAGGTACCCCTAAACCCAAACGCAAACTTAAACCCTAAAGTACATACATGCCATACAAGATCGTCGATGCATCCCTGGCAAGACAAAAACCCTCAACCCTCAGCCCTAAGCCCTCAACCCTAAACCCTAAACCGGATAAGCCCTCAACCCTAAAACCTAAACCCTAGATCCTATAAACCCTATGCCCTTAACCCGAAACCCTAAACCTAATCCTATAAACGTAAATCCTGGCAAGGTCCAACGGCCTGCGCCGGCTGCAGGACTACACACGGCAGGCAGCTGGCCAGGCGGGCCAGAACCCTAGTTGGAGGATCATGGGACTTGGTAAGCAGGGCCCCTTAGAGGGTTCCTTGAAAGGGATATAGAAAGGGCTTATGAGGGGTCTATAAGGCTTGGAGTTCTATAAGAAGGGGATCATGGGACTTAGTAAGTAAGGTTACAAGTGCCCTCATGGGGGTTATAAGTGTAGTTACCCCAGTAATAGCTCGAATTACTATGTCCCACGATCCTTTAGGTAGACCTTCAACCTTTCCGATGAGAGGAAAGAAGTGCCTTAACATCGTGAGCCGCGGAAAGTTCAGCAAGTTTGTGAGACTCTTCATTGAGGCGACATCAGTTTGGAGCAGGTCCCGCATGGCAAAGGGGTCTTACACGTGGGGTGGCAGTCGAGAACCAGCCAAATGTAGGGAAGAGAGGGACGGCTGATTGAGCTGATCCAAGCCACTTCCCGCCTGGTGCAGGAGCGAGCTGATAGGCATCCCAAGTTGTGTGATTCTAGAAACCCGGAGCTCTACTTCCCTGCAAGCCAGCGAACTTTGGCCCTACAGCCTGGAGAATCGTAGAAAAATCTCTGACGACGACCTCCAAAACCCAATACTTCAAACTCCAATTTGAAAGTTGAGAGCAGGTGAAGGGGCTCCTTGACCACAACAACCTCCCCACGGACCTCCAGCTGCATGGCCCCTGGCGACGGAGGGTAGGACGCTGAAGCCTTCAAGCCGAAAGCCCTGATATGGGAGATTCCGAAAATAGGGGACCCTAATGTAGCACCCAAATAGTAGGATCCTTATTATAAGGATCCCAAAATACGGGATCCCTAAGTTTCGGAAACTAACATATCCTCGTTGAGGCACCGCTACATGCGAGAGCTTGTGAAGGCCCGGGCCCTCAGCCGCCCCCACTTGGAGGGTCTTTAGGGGACTTAGTAACATAATGGGTTCCTTAAGGGCCCCTTTAAAGGGATCTATAGGGATTCTATGAGGCTTTAGGGTTTAGGGCTTAGGGGACTTAGTAAGTAGGTAGTAAGTAGACTTATAAGTACCCTCAGAGAGATCCTAATTGGGGTTATGGTACTTATAAGTCTCTAAAATAACTACTTACTAAAGCCCCCGACCCTCCCCCCAGGCTTTCCATGGGCCTCGCTTTCGGCTCAGACCTCGGAGTTTCAGGTTTTGCCTCTATCGGGTCTGAGACTCCAATATTCCCCAATTAAACAATTATTCCTTAAATTATAGTAGGATCCCTGGTATGATTTAAGGAAGATTCCTCAACTAACAATTATTCCTTAAATTATACTAGGATCCCTAGTATGATTTAAGGAAGATTCCTTAATTCACAATTATTCCTTAAATTCTACTAGGATCCCTGGTATGATTTCAGGAAGATTCCTTAGTTAAGGGATCTTCGAGGTTCAGGGTTCCGGCTCCGGGTTCCCGGGTTCCGGGCCTTGGGGGTTCAGGGTTTGGAACTCCGGAGCTCGGAGCAAAATCAGGGGATTTGTGCTGGGGATTGAGGGCCTTGGAGTGTGTCGCTCCGTAGTATTGTTAGCATCACGACTACAAGTACTAGTTTTGGTGTTTCTTTCCTGATTCTTGTCTTGGCATCGATATTAACTTCTCTTATCATTACAGTTTTCGTGGGTTCCCTAAACCCTAAACCCAGTGGGTGGCTTCTCTTTTCTCGCTTAGGGCCTTGGGCCGAAGGCCGGGAGGTAGGAGGGCCTTTTCAGAGGCGCGGGAGCTGCTTTTTGGGACGGGCCAGGGGCCAGGAGGGGCTCGAAGGCTCTTGCGCCTCAAGGCTTCGGGCTTCGGGTCCAAGGGTTTCGGGCTCAGGGGTTTGGAGGTCTTGGGTTTAGGGGTTTAGAAGTCTAGGGTTTCGGGGTTTAGGGGCTTAGGGTTTAAAAGTTTAGGGTTCAGGGGTTTATGGTTCAGGATTTAGGGGTTTTGGTGGTGGGTCAGCTCCGAACTTGCCTGAGGCCTTGCGGCACTGGCTGCCACATTTCTTGCCTAATTACTCTTGTCTACCCACACACTCGCACACACACTCGCACACACCCAGACACGTGTGTATAAGAGAATATCTACAACAAAGACTGTATACTAGCCGGCTCCCCATCAAAAGCCCTGACTTCTGACGCCTTGGCCTTCTGAGGCCTTGGGAATTCTGCTTCGGGGCGCGCCGGAGGGCCTGAGGAGGGAGGTTGGCCTTGGTTCAGAGCCGTTTGGGGTTTACGGTACTTAGAGGATCATGGGACTTAGTAAGGGTTCTTAAAGGGCTCCTTAAAGGGATCTATAGGGTTCCTTAAAGGGAAGTATAGGGTTGCCATGCAGATTCCTGTCAGGACGTTCGCACAGAAGCCGATCTGCTGAGTGAGTCCGATGTGCGAGCCCTGGCAATCTTTCCTTCTCAAGTCGTTTAGGGTTTTTAAGATGGAGGTAGGAGAGGTAGCTCACGTTGTATGCCATGGGACCGACGGGCATTTGCAAGTGAGCGGCTGGATTGTGCATTTGACTGACTCGGAAGCCTGCTTAGCCACGGTGCCTTCGAGCATCGGAGCGGTCGAGAGCAAGACCAGCGGCAAAGCAGGCGGTGACGAGATTGGTTTTATCAAAGTCAGCCGGGAAGCTCTTCTATCCTCCCGGCCCTCTTCTTGGAAAGGTGCTCGAAGCAAGGACTTGCCTTCATGGAGCAACTGTTCAGCTGCTTGGGTCAAGGTAGCCGACCGGGACTTAGGAAGCAGTGGGGCCGAAGCCCCGGCACACAGCCGGCCCGGAGCAGGACGCGGATCGAAGAAGAGCTGGGGTCCTTAAAGCAACTTTTCCAGGGACGACGGAGCAGCCGAGCCAACGAGGACGAAGAGGACGACGACACCGAGGACGAGGAGGAGGACGACAACTTAGCCGAGAAGGAGTTCCTCCGCCCAGGAGCTTCTGCAAAGAAGGAAAAGCCGCGCCGTGCCACCAAGGAGCCAGAAGTGGACCTCAAGAGGGAGATTGTGAAGGCCCTGGCCGGGGGTCAGAATGCTTCGGACCTCTTGCCTCTCGCCATGATGGCCATGTTGGGAGACGATCGCCAGCGCAGTCGCCGCGGCCGAGGCGATCGGGGCGAGGGCAGCAGCCTCCTTGGTGGTTCCTCCTCCGACGATTCCGACGGCGACCACAAGGCCCACAGCAAAGGACTGAACGCGGTCAGCACCTTGCACAAGCTTCACGACCGCATTCAGAAGAACCCTCGCAAGATCTACTTGACCTACGAGAAGGAGATCCGGGAAGAGCTCGGCATCGTGCCGGGCCAAAGCTGGACGCTCCGGGACTACATGCGCAAGCAGCCGTGGGGAAAGTTCAAGGGGATCTACAGATGTGCGATGATGGATGTGGCGGCCTACGAGCAGATAAGGATGGGGAACCACGAGGTGGCGGCAGCACAGCTGGTTCAGAACATGAAAGCCAAGCTGCAATCGGTCTTGCAAGGGGGAGACTGGGCTTCGGCCTGGCTCCTCACCGGCCTGGTGGATCCGATGCAGAAGCGGGACTTTGCAGGGACCCGGGAGGAGATGTCGGTGATCTCGGGTTACGTGGAGGCCCTGGCCAGCCTGCGCAAGAAAGTCAAGGAAGCCAACGCCAGCACCGCCGGCGAGGACGAGGAGGAGCCGGCGGCCGCGAGCCGCAAGTGAAACCCAAGCGATTGCATGCGACACCGGGGCGCTGCTTCAAGCACCCAGCCCTGCAAGGACCGAATTCAAGGTTTCTCAAGTATCTTTTGTGGTTTGAGGACATCCAAGGTACCTTGCCGGTACGGACCGGCAACGACGTGCCACTTTTCCCGGCGGTGCTCCCTTTCCCGGAGGCCTCTTTTGTCGAGGAGGTCGCAGGGGACGAGCAAGCTCTACTTTGGTGGGCCAAGGCTTTCGTGAACACGTTTGTGGCCTGGTGCAACTTTGTGGTGCTTGGCTGCCCCGAGTTGGGGAGCCCCGCTTTGGAGCCGCGAGTTTTTCACAGAGGGGATGTGCAGCAGTACTCTGAGAAGTTGCTCGGCGAGGTGGTTGAATTCGCTTCTGTTGAGTTGGTTTTCGGGTCCCTTGCTTGTTCAGGCAAAAGGTCTGTCTTGGAGGAGATGCTCAGACTTGTAATTTGTGCACGTGTGAAGTATCATGTTGTGTGTATGGCATTGTGGCACAAGTGCTCTGAGTGAAAAAGAGTAGATGCCCAATGGTATAACTGCGTTATTCCTCAACACTTGGACGGGTGTACAACAGTGCGTGTGTGCAGTGGTTTACAGCCGTATAGCCTACGGCCTGGTCACAACTGGTTGGTTACAATACAATCAATCAGCGCATGAGCGAACCGGAACTTATTCCTGCAAGTATGGATACAGTTACAAGCACCGTGAACCCTTTTCAGCCCCCGGTCACGGGTGGCCATACAGGCAGCGGCGCCCCCGGCTTAGTTTTCCCGGCACCAGCCTCAGTCCAACAATTCAACGTCTTCGCACCACAGTATAGTGTCGAAGTACACGTTAACCAGATCAGACTGGAAGTCGGAGAACTAGAGGCTCAGGCAGAAGCTAGACACAGGCAACACATGCTGACCTATCAAGAAGCATCCGCAATTCACACAGCTGACTTGGAGCACAGAGCAGAACGAAACCACCTTGAAGTGGTAGCGGAACTGCAAGCAGCCTTGGCACAAAGCGAGTTCAAGGCGGCAAATCGCGAAAGGCTCCTGTTGTCGGAAATGACTTTAAGTCAGGCGCATTCCTATGACGAAGATCAAAGGTTGCGTCAAGAGCTAGCGGAACTTCAACAAAGCCGAATCACAGACGCATTGGATCAACATCTGGCGGAATCACGCTTTGCACAGAACCTCGAAGAACAGGCGAGACGGCACGTCGAGAATTCCCAGGAAGTCATGGTTGAACAGTTCCAAGCACACTTTGAGTTGTTTAGGAACAGGCAGAAAGAAGAGTATGAGGCGTCCCTTGCTGTATGTAGGGAACAGAACGAAGAGCTTCAGGACAGGTTGGATTCTGCGGAAACTGCACTAGAGAAGGTCTTGGATCAGTACAACCCAGCTACTCCAAAGAGTCAGCCAGTGCCTGCTCCAAGCACCCCTGCAGGTCCCTCTGTTGTCCCCAAAGCTCCTCAAACGCCCATGTTCTCAATGCCGAACGTAATCCCCCAGGGTGCCAGATGTCTGTTCGAGTCAATGAATCCAGGAGGTTTGAATGCTCAGTCCATTCCGTCTGCAACAGCATCTTCAATCCCCAAGGCAGGACCTTCCTAGGCAGCGCCAGGAACAGCGGCCCCTCCAGCGGCCGATTCCGGCACGCCAGGGACGGAGGCTTTCAACACAGGTCTCCTAGAGACCCAAATGGCAATTCTTCAAAGCCTAAGAACCTTAAGGGGTGAGAGCAAAGTCGATGCTGACAAACCCAAAGCGAAAGAAGCAGAGTCCATCAACCTTCCGGATTTCCCAAGTCCAGAGTCGTATCGTTCATGGAAAACGGCAGCTAGGGAAGCGGTCAGGGCAGCATCAGATTCTCCTGATGAGGCGTTTAAATGGGTGATGAAGGCCTACGACAAAGACGCATCGCAGGAATCCCTTCGAGACCCTGAGAAATTCCTCACCCTTGACACGAAACTTCTTGCTGCACTCACCAAAGTCGCTAGGGGAGAACTCTCCCGAGAAATCCTCATTTTTAAGGAGACAGAAGCGGCGAAATTCAGGGCGGTACGAGGACGACAGGTGCTCTACCTCTTCGATCAGTACTTCAAGACGAACGAGGAGGTTGGCTCACTGTACTCCGTGGAGGACCTGCTGAAAGTAAGGTTAATCAATGACGACCTTTCAGTGTTCATTAGCAACTGGGAATCTGTCATGTCTGGACTTAGCCACACACCGGACGAAACGACCCTAAGAGACATTTTCCTTCGTGAACTCAGGCAGTCCAAGAGGCTAAAGTACGATCTTGAGATTTACGACAGGGCATCAGAGGGCACGGATCAGCACACGTACAGGTTTCTTGTGAAGTCACTTAAGGATCTTTTGACCCGAGAGCGCAAACGCAAGAACCGTGACCGCATCGCAAGATCTCACGGAGATAAGTACGGTGCCCCTGCCTCAAAGTCTCCTGGCCGAACTTCCAGCCCCTCTTCAAGAGGAGGCCGTGGCAGATCACAGAGCCCAAGGCCAAGATCACCCAGCAAAGGTAGATCCCAGTCTCCCAGCAAGCCTAGGACACCTAGCCCAAAGGGAGTATGCCACGATTTCCTCAAAGGAACTTGCAAGCGAGGCAATAACTGCCCTTTCCTTCACAAGAAGAGATCATTGTCCCCCAAAGGCGACAAACAGAAGAAGAAAATCAACGTGACATGCAAGTTCTGGAAAGAAGGCAACTGCAACAAGGGTGACAAATGTCGGTTCCAGCATAAGGATGTAGAGAAGCCGTCAGCTCCCGCACCCAAGTCCGAAGCCGCCCCGGCAGCTCCAAAGCCAGGGTCACCTAGGGCCAACTCCCCTGCCCCGCGCAGAGGGAGAAGTCCCAGGGCCAAGTCAAGTGACAAGGCTCCAAAGACGGCCGCATGCGCCATCGCGTTCGAGAATACAGCGGATCTTGAGATCTCGCCAAAGCTCGCTATGGCAGCGTCACATGACGAGGACTACTGGGAGGTAGACTTCACCGGCAACAAAATCATCCGCCATCACAAGAAGTACCGAACGGATTGGTATGTTCCTGACAATTCATGTCCTGTGAACCCCAAGAAGCTTAGGAGCCAAGCTAAGCTCGAGCAGGTTTTGCCGGTCTCCCCTTTTGTTGGAAACAAGATCTACAACTGGAGGAAGACCCCAACCAAAGGACCCGGCAGCACATGGGTAGGAAAGACGATCTTCTACATGCAAGAACTCCCTAAGGTGAGTTTCGACAGCACAGTAGAAATGATTGCCATCGAACCGGAAGGAAAGCAGAGAAAGCATGCCTACCTTCCCAGGGTTTATGACGAAGTCTATCCCACTGTCGAGAAATGTCCACGCTCAAATCCTAAGGATCTGAAGAGGGCTCTTGTGTGGGCAAAGCAGTTTGCCACCATGATCGAATGCATGGTTCACGACACGCCTGCGGGATGCGGGTATGAATGCATGGAGGAAGGCTTCCTCTGCGAGGAGTGCGAGCGACTTGCACGTCCGTCATGTGCAGGTCTG